TAGACCTCAATCAGACAGGAAGGAGTTGACTTTGTAAAAAATGGTAAATACAGATACAGCTGGGGTCGGGATGAGCTAGTCCGGAAACACTGTGCATTAGTGACTCTGGACCCACTTCCCAATGAGGGAGAGGCTTGTGAGCAGAGAGGTGTCCGTCCGTGTGCTCCAAAAATCCACCTCGACCTGTTCATAGCTGGAATTACCCTCCAGGTTCTGTTACCTGTGGGTGAGAAGGCATATTCATGGCAGCTTAAGGGACGTTTTTAAACTTAAATTGAAATTCGTTTAACCTAAGTTAAAAAGCTCTCCGGGAGGGCCAGTGCACATGGCTGCGGGATTTAGGGTAGAGTCGCGGGGACCGCGCAGCTGAATGCGGGCACCCCACCTGCAGGAGCAGGCCAGCCGCGCTCTCTGCTGTTCTCACTGATGACAGCTATGGCGTTCCGCCCTCTGGTCTTGCAGAAGAGAGTTAATTTCAGTCTGTTTCTGCCAGGGGTGAAAAGGACTGAACACAGGTATATTTTTAGAAAGTCATCCTAGTAACTGATTGTCGCTGAGGGGCTACTGGGGCCCCCTCTGGTATGAATGGAGAAAGGGCCGCACTTTGAGCCACTTCCATGGCCGCTTCCAAGGCTGGCACTGCTGCTGTGGAAGTTTCAGATGCTGGGGTTTCTTATAAATGATGATTCTTTGGTATTCCGTGATAACAAATGGTTGTGGAGAATAGCAGAGCCTCTCATTTCCATAACAAGATAGGCAGTTTATGTGCAGATAAGATTCGTTGTGATTCTTTTCTGTTCTGTGATTACAGACAGTTATTGAGGAGAGCTTGGAGCCTCTTGATTCCTCAAATAATGCAGATAGTTTATAGAAACACTAGAGGCCACTTGCACCCAATTACCTGGTGCTTGTTTAGAACACAGCCTCGGGCCAAGGACTTTTCAGCACGTGCCCTAGATGCCTGTGAGCTCACTCACATTTAAGGGAGTCTGGTGGTTGGAGGCCAATGGCACTATTTAGGTGACATCTGACAATAATACGGTTTATTCACCAGAAGTAAACAGAATGGTTTATAGTGGCCAGAGTATGCCGACACAGCTTGGTTGTGAATAATCGTTTCACATTTAGAAGGATTTTGTATGGTTGAATTCCACTACATAGGATATTTTTCCCGGTAAGCAATGAAGTTACTAATGACTACCAGCAGTTCAGTCCCACTAGCATTTATTGAGCACTTACTGTATGCCACATACTGCACAAAGCCCTGGCCCAAGACCAGGCTCAGCTGGAGCACTGTGGACCCTGCTTTCACAGAACAGAGTCTAGTCTGGGGTTGGTAAACCCACAGCCCGTGGGGCAAACCAGGCCTGCCAGATTGTGTACTGTTCGTGAGTTCAGAATGGGGTTTACATTTTTAAATGGTTGAAGAAAAGACCACTAGCTTAGCCCTGTAACAGGAAAGATGTTCTGGGTATTAGGATTCCCCAGGAAAGTGAGATACTCTTGACCTGTTTAGTCACAGACTGGGGGACTTGGATTTGGTGAGCTCAAGCAGCACACATTCATGATCTAAGGGAGGGCCTCCTGGATCTCTGCATGCTTTTTTCATTTGGGTACTTGGTGGACTGGAGATGCCATTTCCACACGTTCATTTTCTGCTGGAACACGTGCTGCATCTGAAAAGCTGGGTCTCTGAGATCAGTCTTGAGGGTTCGTTCATGTGATGGCACTTGGGCACTATTGTCTGTAATTAACTGTGGATGAGCCTTGATCTGGTCTAAGGTTGCTCGTACCTTTTTCCAGCCAGAACCACCATCAGGCCCAGAGTGTAGCTGAATTACTTGATTCCTGTTTCCCCTAGGCCATCCGCCTGGCCTTACCCAACTTGCTCTGACCCAGCAAGTGTTTGTGCTGGTGGTAAGAATCCCTTACGCAAGAAGACGTTTAAGATTTTCTGTTATTTCTCCCCAGAAAGGAAGGCAGCCCCTTGGTAATCTGTCATGTGTTTAAGAGCGTCTTTAGTGGGCATCTCACACATTTGAATCAGCTTCAGCCGTGTGATTATTCTGTTTTGAAAACGGTTGCAACAACTTCGGCCATGTAATGCAGAGGCTCTCCTGTTTGTAGATATTGACAGAATGATCCCTGTATGGTACCAGTGAGGTGAACAGTCCCCAGAACTTTCTGGGCTTTTTCTGAGCTGCATACTGTTGGAGAGAGGCCTTTCCTGAGGAGTCCTGAGGTCTGCAAGTAGAGAATACGTACAGTTCTTTATGCCTGAGAAAGGATTGGATCTGAAGTAACCTGCAGATATTTAAAGCATGATTTTTGTTTTTCTGACCTTGTTGTTAGAGCTGTCTGCTTAGTTACGTTACAAACAGAATAGCATTTACCTTAGAAGCTCTTCCTTTAATTTCTGTCAAAGTGGCTTTTTCTCAAGCCCACTGTCTTGTTTTGCTGACAGACTTCGTTGAGACAGCACTGAGGATGTCACACAGGCAGCTCACAACTCCACGAAATCCCCGCAGGTCTTACGGTGCGGCCCTCAAACAGAGGCTACAATGCTCCATTCCTCTCTTTTGTGAAATACTAAGAGGGAAATGTCTGAAAGCCCACAAGCTTAGCAAGTGTGGGAGCATCTTAGGACAAACGTTTTGTCTTCAGGAATTGTGGGGAGAGGCCATGTCTGTTCAGGGCCCTCTCTTGTTGGTGTGGGCTCCCTCAGAGGGCCCCACCCACGGACAGGCCTGTGGGTCTGGGGAGCAGGTGCCTGCAAGCCCCTGGGACTGCCTGGGGGCAGCGGCTCACATACGCCCAGAGCGCTCGTGTTACAGTCTGTGCCCTGCTTTTTCAGGAGAACCCATGTTTGTCACCAAAAGAGATACTTGATTTATTTTCTAAGGCTCTAAAGAACCAAAAGGGGTTAGGTTGTGACTAACAGTAAAGTACTTCATATAGCTTGATGTCGAGATCACCACCAGGAAAAACCATGTTCCTGTGCAAATGTGGGCTACCCAGCAGCCCTGGAGAGAGGGCGGCCATGCCGTGGTCGCTGCAGTGACAGACTCTGTCCCCAGAATCCCCTCTGCACAGCCGCCCCAGGCCGAGCTGGTGGTATGCGCACGCAGACCTAGAGAGCAGAATATCCCCAGCCTGCTTCATGGAGGGAAGGTCTGGAACAATACTTAGCATTGACATTATGTTTCATTACATGAAGTGTTGTGTATTTCCCTTAATTACCTGTCATCTATTAAAAGAACCATAACCCCTCAGATAGTATTACGGGACCTGATTAGGTTGCTATTTCATTAGAGTTTACACAAATTTATGATTTCATGATCAGACTGATATTTGGGATCAGCAGTTTTAGCAGCGCATCCACATATTTTGGAGTTCACATGATCGAGTATGTAGCTAGAAGCTTTCGTTTTTGTTCTCTCTTTTAAGAGAATATAGCTTTCCCGAGAGGTGAGGAAAAAAGCAGCCTTCTTGGCCTCTTACCCTTTGTTTTTCCCATATTTGACAGTCCGCCAGGCTGTTCATTTAGCGTAGAAAGTAGCGCATGGAAGGATGTCCGAAAGCATGAAGAGCTGACCGTAACTTCCCGTCCCCAGAGAGCTCCCTGCACACTCGTCCCGTGTGGGGTGCAGGTGCCGCACCGCACCCTCCTCAGCGGCGCCGGCTGACGGGAGGGTGGTTCTCACGTGCTGGCGTGGGTCTTGTCAAAAGTGACGGCCACCAGCTCCTCCCCCACAAAGACTCTCAGCCTGGAGCCCAGGAAGTGTCCTTGTGCAGCAGCAGCGGTCGCCACCACACGTCACCACTCCTGCGGGATCAGCGAATGAGCGGACAAACCGGTGTAGAGCCCGGGGACCTTCCCCTGGGACGTCCCCTGGGACGTCCCCTGGGACGTCCCCAGTCCCGTGCTCGGCGGCGAGGCCCCACTCTGGGCACAGACGGGGTCGATGCTCTGTAACTGGCATGACTTAGAAGCTGTGTGCACAGCATGTGCCAGATGAGCACAAGAGAAGCAGTGACTGCCCGCGCCAGAGTCCAGGTGACCAGTGGAGAGGGGGCCACCTGAGACACGAAGTGCGGGAAACCACATCTCCAGAGAAGAAAGGGCCCGTTTTCTGTCGAGACGGGTTAGGGTCTTGTGTGTGGATAATCCATTCCCTGGAGCCCCAGCGAGGCGCTGGTAGTTTGTAGTTAGCTGAGAAATGTTGGCTGCTTCGTCCGGTCCGTTAGCACATCAGGATGACCTCTGGCACACACCGTTCTTCAGGCCTAATGATGTCACTGGGTAGAGGGCCGTCACCTGGTGTCCGAAGGGGGGTGCGCGGTTGTGAAACACCGGCCCGGGCCTAGTGGGCGAGGCGGCATGGCCGCCTCCGTGGGGCTGGGGGTCTGCCCCGAGGCCTCAGTCTCGACAGAGGAAGTGTGTCCTAGCTGACATTTATTTTCTGAGGCGTAAATTGAAGAACCTAATTAGTTTTCAGGTCAGACTCCTAGAAACTGAAGTTACTACTGAACAGACCCCGACACGTTAAAAGATAAGTAGGTATGCCTGCCTGCACTGCACTCACTCATAGGGGACGCGGATTTTTAATAACCTTTTAGACAAAGAGTAACGTTGTGCTGAAATTCACCATTCGATATTACTAATAATGCTCCCTAAAGGGTTTCAGCTGACTTTTTTCTTTTGTAAAATAAGTGATTCTGCATTATGTCATGATCAGTATTATGTCATTTGTTTTATCTGAAAATAGTGGAGGTTTTAAGTTTTAAAATACTGAGGAAAAAGTGCATAGTTGTCAAAGGTATTATGTCCAGTACGACATAATATTTTCCATTTCTTTCTCACATAAAGCACTGTTTTTATCGTGCGCATTTCAAAGGTTTCTCTGTATCAGATGTGCTGGAAATAGTGCGTGTTGTGTACAGTCCTTGCACACCGTACAAAATCACGTTTTACATCTGGCCTTTTCTGTTGTTAACAGAGCATCAAGAAGAAACACACAAACAAACAGGAGATGAGCACGTACTTGCGGTTCATCGTGTCCCGCATGAAGGAGAGGGTGAGTCCTGCACAGTCTCCGGGCCGCCCTGCCAGGCTCCCTCCCTTCATGCCTTGCAAGTTAGCGCGTGACAAGTCAAGATGCACAGAGCAGGATGGGGGTGGAGAACACCGCCGTCACACTTCTTTTGTGCGTGATGGCTCCACAAGAGGCTCTTATTTTTTGGTCTTGTCTTTGTTTTCACGGGCATTTCTTTAGCTGCATTAGATTAGACGTGCACTTTTCTTTTCCTGCTGATACATCTCTGTTGTTTCATCTTTTATTTTTCAAAATCTTTAATGAAGGTACAGTTGATCTACAATATTATTATTAGTTTTGGGTGTACCGCATAGGGATTTGACGTTTATGTACATAACTCCATGCTCACCAGTAATTATAGCCACCACCTGTCACCATGCAAAGTTACTACAATATTACCAGCTATATTCGCCATGCTGCACTTGTCATGCCTGTGACTGACCTGTTTTAAAAGTGGAAATTTGTACTTCTTCATCCCCTTCACCTGTTCTGCCCATCCCCCTCCTCCTTCCCTCGCTCAACCACCAGTTTCTTGGTTGTATTTAAGAGTCTGTTTCTGTTTTTTCTTTGTTTTGCTTTTCAGATCCCATGTACAAGTGAAGCCATGTGGTATCTGTCTTTGTCTGACTTCACTTACCATAACACTTTCTAGCTCCGTCCATATTACTGCAGTTGTTGCCCAGCAATATTGTGATAATTAGTGTCTGAAGTAAAGTGGCGTTTTCCAAAATAACTGTTCTTTCTATCAAAACCCAAAAAATGCCACATTGAACTATATGGCGCATGTACATTTTTCCAGTTAATTCTAAAGTGTTTAGAAATTGTGTCACCTGTCTCTCAATGACCTTTCAGGCTATAGACCTTAATAAGAAGGGGAAGGACAACAAACACCCAATGTATCGGAGGCTGGTGCACTCAGCGGTGGACGTCCCCACCATACAGGAGGTAAAGCCAGGCCCTCTGTCCGGTTTCTGATACACCCGTAGCTCCCACATGACTCACAACTCCCAGCTGAGCATGACTCTGTTGCCATTCCCCCTAGGGTGTGTGCCTGCTCGTCCTCTACTTAGAGCCTCAAAGGTGTAGCCCCTACAGGGGCATTGCTGCTACTGAGATGCCTTGTGCTTTTACTGTGCGTGCAGATCAGGTGTCCCGTTCGAAAAGGCCTGGTGTTAAGCCAGCTGTAGATTCTGGATACTTGCTGATCCCAGGAGAGGCGTGTAGAGCCTGGTCAACTGAATATTTCAGATTCGAGGACTCCTATCTGCACGTGGTTTCCTAGCACTAGCAGGTACTCAGGAGTTTTTCTCAAGGGAACATTGGAGTCTAGGACTAGAGTCCTGGGAAACAGCAGAGTGAACTTGAACAACACAAAGATTATGTAACCAGAAAACAATTTTCTCAGAGTTCTTAATTTTACCTTCTGTAGCTGAGTATTGTAATGGGTTTGTTAACATGTAGTTACAAATTGCGGTAAAATCCAGTAGAACATTTTAACACATTTCCCAGTTAGGGCCGCTGAATTACTAATTCTGTACTTTATGCATCCTTTTGAATTTCAGATCTCGTGGTTGGCCACAGTAGCTTATAGGGAGACCATAGGAATAATTTTAAGTTATTTTACAAGTTTCTTAGTCCCCTTGGCAGCTGAGAAAGACTGCAGGTGATTACTTCAGTAGGAAATGAGGGTAAATGAAGGGTGTTCCCTCTAAAGAGGCTGGCAGAGTCTGAAATAAAAACAAGTAGTTTTCATTTCACCTCCTGCCCCAGGTTCCTGTCCTCAAGCAAAGCCTCTTGTCCTAAACCCCAAGGTCTCTACGGGACAGTCCTTCCTGCCCCTGCTTCTGCTCCTTCCAAGCTTCCCTTAGTCTGATCCCGGCGGATCCGTAGAGAACACCAGCTGGACTGATGGTGTCTTAGCTTTGTACGTAGCAGGTGCTGTTCATGAACAGAAAGCACTGTAAGGAAAATACAGAGGAAAGCATGATTTTTATCCCATCAGGAGCTTACAGTTCAAACCAAAATACAGGCCGTGATCGTGCAAATCTCAAAAATCACGAAGATGCTTTGGGAAACCTGGGTTCAGTTTCTCCATCTGGGTGTAGATCAGGTCACCGGGGGAGCTCTAGACGTTGCCAGTGCCTGGGAGGACTGAGCCCGGGACGGTCAGAAATTCACAGTGGGACTCAGTATTTGTTTTTTTTAAAAAAATTTTTTTTTTTCAACGCTTATTTATTTTTGGGACAGAGAGACACAGAGCATGAACGGGGGAGGGGCAGGGAGAGAGGGAGACACAGAATCGGAAACAGGCTCCAGGCTCTGAGCCATCAGCCCAGAGCCTGACGCGGGGCTCGAACTCACGGACTGCGAGATCGTGACCTGGCTGAAGTCGGACGCTTAACCGACTGCGCCGCCCAGGCGCCCCGGGACTCAGTATTTGTAACTAAGCCTGTGACCCTTGATGCCAGAAGGGAGGCAGGTTCCTCCAGCAGGGGATATCTTGCAAGCCTTCTTGAAGAAAGCACCACTGAGGTGGGCCTTGGAGGATTTCAGCAGAAAGACAGGATCTTAGTTGTTATTTAGAGGCCTTAGTATTCTAAGTCCTTTCCAAGCTGATTTCCTAAAGTGCTACCAGGATAAGAAAATGCCTCCTTGCTACTTCTAAATAACTCGTTATACCCTTCTTCCAAAAACTTTGCCTGCCTGCAAAAAACCTTCAAATTCCCTCCATAATCCATCACGTATACGTGTCTAGCACAGCAGAAAGCCTTGCCTTGACCTGGTGTGTAGAGGAACAACTCGGACTTCGTGGGAAAGCGTCGCGTAGGCCAATGGTTGTTGCTTTCAGTCTCTGTAAGACTGTGCTAGAAAAATGGTAGGTGTGTAGTTACCATCTGCACTGACCACAGCCTTCGTTCTCCGCGCAGCCCAGCAGCAGTGAGAGGCCCTGGCTTTTGGCGGAGCTCAGCTGCTGACTTAGTGCAGAGGAGGGTGGGGGCTGCCCGCGGTCCAGTGCTCTGCACGCCACACTCCAGCCGCGGGTGGGCTTATCCGTGTCCTCACGCGTGTCCCATCCATGCCGTGGGACACGGGAGTGGACATAGCGACATTCTGGAAGGTTCTGCCGTGCCCCTTGCGCTAATAACCCGTTAGCATAAGGCAGACAAACATTCTAGCTATTAACGCTTTGCTATTTTGTTTCTCGCCCTCTGCAGAAAGTGAACGAAGGGAAATACCGCAGTTATGAAGAGTTCAAAGCTGATGCTCAGCTGCTTCTCCACAACACAGTGATTTTCTACGGAGGTTGAAGGGTTTTTTTCTTTTCTGTGCATGCTTCTCTATACCACTTAACCTTCCTGTTGGGAAATACCTTTTATAAAACATTACATTCAAAAAATTGATACTTTAATGATTTGCAAGTAATAATGTCAGGGTTTCAACTTTGGTAATGTGGTTATAGTTTATAAAATTGACTGGCCAAGAATTCTAGTACTAAATGCTGAAAATATTTTTATTCTTTATAGTTTTATATATAAGCTTAGTTGAGAGGCTTTTTACAAGCACTTTAATTCTGGTCCTTTTCCATTAACATCCCATCATTTGAAGGAAAAGAAAGAGGGCACTCTGTATGTAGAGGATCCGTATTCTGTTGAATATAACATTACAGCTGTCTATAGAAATGTTTGGCTGCCTGAACTTTATTTATGTTATTTTTAAAAAATGTTTATTTATTTATTTTGAGAGAGCGAGAGAGCAGGGGAGAGGGGCAGAGGGAGAGAGAGTCCCATGCAGGCCCCATGCTGCCAACACAGAGCCCGACGTGGGGCTCGATCTCATGAACCGTGAGATCATGACCTGAGCAGAAATCAAGAGTCAGATGCTTAACCGACTGAGCCCCCCAGGTGCCCCTGAACTTCATTTAAAGTAGACATTTTCATTTTAAATGGTATATGTCCACTCTAGTCACACTGAAAGAAAATGCAAATGGTTGTACTACTTTTGATAGTTTTGTGTTTCTGGATTTGTGGTAATAGATACTGTCTGCCTTTCATTACAGCAGACAGCGAGCAGGCTGACATAGCACGGATGCTGTATAAAGACACCTGTCACGAGGTACTGCTTACTCCCCGTAATTAAACTCTTGCTGTTTTCCAGACTAACTTAGTTTGGAATTCTACTCTTACATATGTTTCAGTTTTGCCATTTCCTTTAAATATAGTTTTATTTCCGTGTTTGAAATACATGGGAAATAATGCAAATCAAGGAGGGAATTTTCTCAGAGAAATCCTAGGAGTTCGATTTAGTGGTTAAGTAACTTGGACAAATAAAGTGTGTTTCCTTTTCTGTAATTGCTCTCAGGGATGTTGGTTACATAATGCAGGCAAATGTCTTGCACTGGGCAGACACTCAATAAATGTTACCCTCCTTTTCATTGTCAAATTAAAGCATAATTCACATACAGTGTGATACTAGTTTCAGTTATACAGGGTAGTGATCTGACACTTCCATACGTCACTGAACTGCTCCCCCAAGTGTGGTCCCGTCACCTCACAGCATTATTACAACGTGACCAATTGCACCTCCCGCCCCC